CAGCTGTCATCATAAATGTTAGTAGCAGCAAGCTGTTCAGACACACACTCCTGTGCTCATGCGTGCATACACACACACGCGCGCGCGCGCACACACATGCACACATGCACACACGCACGCGCACACACACACACGCATGCGCACACACACACACACGCACGCGCGCACACACACGCATGCACGATGGTGAGCTGCACCTAGAAATGAGCAGGAGGAGAGTGGGGGGATGGACTTTGGGAGATACCCAAGCTCTCTTCTTGGAATGAGGGTCCTAACCTTCTTAAGGCCAACATTTTCCTGGTGAAGCTGTGTGAATGCCTGTCTTGGAATCCCACAGTCTTTAAAGGTTTGAAGCTGAGGATCCTTCACAAGTCACTGGAAAAGTGCATAAAGGGCATGTTACAGACAAGGATACACTGTAAAGTCAAGTCACATTTAGATAGTGCTTTATAAATATTATCTCATTTTATCCTTACTATAACCCTGGGAGGCAGGTGTTAAGATTCCTCTTCATTTTACAGATAAGGAAACTGAGGCAGAGTTAGATGCCCAGGTTCATACAACCAGGACGTGTCTGGGGCCAGGTTTGAACTCAGGACTTCCTGATTCCAGGCCTAGAGTCCAAGCCATTGCACTGCCTAGCTACCTGCAAAAATTGATGAACAGGGAGAAAAGGCTGGGTCTGTGATAGGTAGCTCCTGTATTACGTGGTCCACCATGTCAAAATGCCACAAAGAAGGCTCCTGGCATGTTGAGTGGGCTCTCTGCGGTGGGTTTATTGGAGGACACAGACAGGAGCCTCGTGGGCATGGATGGGTTATCATCAGTATTATTGCAAAGATCACAGGAGCTTATTTAGAACTGGAAGAGACATTAAGGTCACCTCGTCCAATTCCTTAGTTATCCTTGTATATATTTTGTTTGGCCACACTTGCCTGCATGTTATCTCCCTATTAGATGTGAGCTCCTTTAGGAGAGGTGCCGTGCTTTCACGAAACTGCCATTGCATACTGAGCCATTGGTATGGTGACCACATATAGTAGGCACGTCACATCAAGTTGACTTGATTTATTGTCTTATGGTTGGGGAAATTGAGACTCAGAGAGGAAGGGACTTACCCAGGGTCCCACAGGTGGTGGGCAGCAGAGCCAGGGTTGGGACCCAGGTCCTTGGCTCCAAACCCGCTTCTCTTTCTACTGTAACTTGTAGTACCTTGTGTCCACACCAGTGAGGTCGCTGACCCAGGGGCTTACCCATAGTTCACAAAATGTCTTTTCCATAACTTACCTTAGAGTAATAGCAGCTCCATATTTCTGAGTCTCAAATCAAATGCCCATCTTTGGATTCCTCCTGCCTTTCCACCTGCCTCCTCACTCTAATGATGAGAAATAGAATGTGAAGGACTTGTGGCCAGATGGGGTGAGAGAGCCGAGGAGAGCCCAGCTCCCCATCTCCAACAACTGGATGACAGCAACAGAATCAGCGTTAAAGTGGGATAAAAAAATGAGCATGCAGAAAAAGGTTCTAGGTTAATTAAATTAATGAGAAGCCAAAAACATGCTCTAACCCCATGAGTAAGTATTATGGGATAAAATAAACTGCAGAGGATTTCCCAGAAGAAGAAAATAAGGAAGGAACGTTTGCAAGGGCTCCAGAAATAAACCTGGGTCTATCAGAAGGTACTTCAATGTGGACAAATGAAGGTGGATCTGACCCTTCTTTTAGGGGCATCACCATGAAGTGGACAGAGAGCCAGTCTCGAAGCCAAGAAGACCTGGATTCTAGTCCTGTCTCTTGACATTTAACTGACTGTATGACCTTGGGCTGGTCCCTCGGTCTGTCGCATCTTTTTGCAACTGTCTCAGGCTGTTCTAGTAAAGGCAGCTTATGCTGGCAGAGGGAGCTTCCTCACCTGGGTGTTCTCTATGAAATCATGGGTCCAGGCCGTATCCCACAGAGAGAGGTGGAACGGTCCTCAGAACACTCATTTTACAGATGAGGATGCTGAGAACTGGGAGGGACCCCTTCTCCTGATCCTGACAGCTATAAAGATGGAATTGAAATCTGTCTGGGAGGATCTAGAAAATGACTGTAAGAACATAGAATTTGTTGGGAAGCTAGGTGTTACAGTGGATAAAGTAATGGACTTGGAATCAAGAAGACTGGACGGAATCCAAATCGAGCCTCAGACAATTATTAGCTGTGTGTCCATGGGCAAGTCACTTATCCTCGGCCTCAGTTTCCTTATCTACAAAATGGGAATAATAGCACTTACTTCCCAGGGTTGTTGTGAGGAGAAAATGGGACAACATATGAAAGTTGTATTGCAAGCCTTAAAGCTTCACAGAAAAGTTCGTTATTATTATTGATAGAGAATTTTAATACAGTGCTGGCCTACTGAAGAATAAAATCGGCCTGGTAGAAGACAGAGCAGACAAAATAATAGAGCAAATAGCAAAACAAAATCTGAAATCAGCACCACTTGAAGAAGACTTAAGATGGCTGGAAATTTAAGGAATGGGCTCAAAGTGTGGGCTTGGAAACAGGGGCTGAGCGTGAGGGGGCTTCCGGGAGAATGGGAAGAAAGCGAGAAACTGAAAGCTAGATTCCTGAAAATCATCCAAGGACATGATAAAGGATAAAGCATGCATTGACACAGTAGCAAAAGTGATGGCACCGAAGTATGTGCCCATCACCCAGAGAATGGGGGGCCAAATTGGGGCATGTGAGCATAATGGGATATTGCAAAGGACAAATAGAAATTTAAGGAAATGGAGGCAGACTGAGCTGATGAGGAAGGTCGAAAGGAGACTCAAGACCTACAATGACCACAGCAGCATAAAGGGGATGCTGTTGAAAGCCCTGAGAACTCTGACCAGTCTTCTGTCTGGAGGACAGGCATCGACCAGGCCCTTCATCTTGGTAGGAAGTGATGGACTCCAGATGCCCATGGAGACACGTAGGAGCAGATAGGGCCAGTGCAAGGGTTTGGTTTGTGTAGTTTTTATGTGAGCAGGAAGATTCTTTTGGGAAGGATAGGAGGCGTCAATAGAATGTGACAATGATTTTTTAAATAAGTTTCACCAAAACATTATTTAAAGATATCCAACCCCACGAGGTACTGAAGGAGATTTATTCCAGGTTCAATTCACATAGAACGGTCAAATTTCAAAAATCTTAGCAGCAGAAATGCAATTTTGCAAGCAGCCAGGGGGAAAAAAAAGAAAGCAAATAATAACAAAAATCCTCTCGCCCATCAAAAATTACCAACACAAATTGTGTCAGATTTTTCATACAAGTTGAGAAATGGGATTCCAGAAATATCTGGAAGGGGGTGTATGAGGAATCAAGCGAAACAGACTTCATCCTCCAATTCTAGGCATTCCGACAAAAGAAACACAGTCTCTGACACGCAGCTCAGTCAAAGCAAGATCTCAGACTATGTGTGTTGAAAACAATGAATGAATGTGCTAATTAAAGTCTAATTCATTGAGAGCTAAAGGCATGTTGTTTGTTTCTTTGAGGTCCCATTTTGTTGGAAGGAGGTCAAGGCCACACTTGCAATGACTTGATTCGTGAACACTACCAGTTCCCATAAATGGGGAACAGAAAGAACCCACCAGAGCGTAGCAGGATTGAGGGTGGGCAGCACAGATGAGTCATGACCGAAGCAAGCATTCATTTAATCATTCTTTGTCTTCCTCTTCCTATATTTGGAAGCTTATCCTTGTCCATGGAAATTAAGACATCGTTGGTTAGTACATGACCGTCTCTCAGATTCTCCCACTGATTTGCTGTGTGGTATTTACACGGCAGTTCACTCGTTGTCTGAAAGATGAGCAGAGCAGGATGAAAGAGGCCCTGGTTGTGGATTCTTCACAGGGGGAAGCCCTCTGGTCCTTGTTGGTCATGGGTAAGGAGAGCAGCCCATGAGCTTCTGGGCTTCCTCAGCTGAGCTGCAGTTTCATTATCTTGATCCGCTCCAGAGAGACATCATTTGTCTTACTTAAGGGATGTCCTTTTCTGTTAATGTCTCTTGGGTAATGTGTTATGGAGGCAGTTCAGTCTAGAGCAGAGAGGGAAATTGTCCGTTGTCTTAGCATTTCAGCTTAATGACCTGTTTGTGTGATGGGAAGAATCTGTGGCTTCATCGGCCTGGGGAATGCCTTGTGTGGGAATGCTGTCCGAAATCAGAGACAACAACCTGTTTGTGGAGTAAACAAGTGTTAAGGACTTGCTTGAGGTATATAGAAATGAGAAGGTTTTCACAGAGGGACACAAATAATAAATGTCAAAGGCAGGATTTGAACCCAGGCCTTCCTGACTCAAAGTCCAGCTTCCTCTCCACCATGTCAGGCTATCCCTGAAAAATGTATTCTAGCAAGTCTAGCAATGAACGCAGTGCCTGGCACATAGTAAGCACTTAATAAATGTTAATTGATTGATTGGTAAGTGGAAAAACAGAATGCTGTTCCAATATGCCGGATGATTTTTGCTTCTTTGAAGATTTAAGGCATTATGAGGTTGTGTCTACGGAGGTTTTTAACCCTCATTTATTAAACTTCAAAACTAGTTGTAAGGAACTTCGAGGCCGTTTAGTCTGCCCATCCTATCTTACAGAGGAGGAAACTGAGGCTCAGAGAGGAAACGTGGCTTGTCGGGGGTCACACAGGAGAAAGTGGCAGAGCGAGATTTGAATCTGGGTCTTCCGCTGGTTCCAAATCAGTTTTCCCCCCTGAGCCACAGCCTCCCATAGTCTCATCAAATGCTGACATTGGTAGTCAAGGCAGGTCACCAAAGTGACCTTGTCTTAGCTACTACTGCCCGTCCTGTGAGACATAACATTTTTCTTCTCATTTGTTCCTTTAACAAACCGGCCTCTGCCCCGGCCACTTTTGTCAAGGGTGAGCCCCTCGGCAGGAAGGGGCAGAGTGCTTGTGGGTTCTTACTGGCGACCACAGCTTCTTCCTATGAGGTCACCTCTTGGTTATCTCTTCCAGAAACTGTCAGGACAGCAGATAAACCCAATGCTGCGGATGTTTGGGCAGTCGATCTCAGGAGGCATCGACATGGATGGAAATGGTTATCCAGGTAAGGGCTGTCTGGCTTTCTGGGATTGTTTTCAGGAGGAAGATGAGCTAACCTAAGCACAGGATGTAGGTGAATTATTTCCAGGCTCATCAATAATTTCCGTCAACTTAGAGTGATGAGAACACCCAGCGGTAGAAGGTGGGGGCTTTGGCTTTTGCCCACGGAATCGTGTGAGTCAGCGGGAGATTTGTAGGGTACTGTTGGGACTCCGTTGTTCATTCTACATCACCTCCTGTAATTCTCTGCGTTCCTTGGGTTCTGTGTTAGTAGAGATGCAGAAGGTCAAGGCGGTGAGGCAGAAGCTTTCACTGACAAATCCGTTCCAGTACTGCCCTCTTCTCCTCTTTTTTTTCCAATAAAGAAAAATTTCCCAGGGACAGTTGCAACAATAAATGCTTGACAGACTTGTCCTTCCCCACCCAGAAGACAACAGGGAGGGTAGAATTGGAATGATGGGTATCTGAAGAGAGCTTCTCAGCATTAGGAAAGGAAATGTCTTCTGTGCAGCCAGGAGAGGGAAAACCAGACCCCAGCAAATACCCAAAGCAACCGCAACCTCACCAAGGATGAGAGTAGCTGGCATTTCTTAATGCCTCCAAGTTGGTAAAGGGCTTTACTGGCAATATCCCATGTGCAACTCATCCATAATAACAATAATAATAATGATAATAATAACTGGTTTGTGTATAATACTTAAGGTTTGCAAAGCATTGCACATTTCAGTCAGTAAGCATTTATCAAGCACCTACTGTGTGCCAGCCACTGCTAAGCCCTGAGGCCACAAAGAAAGGTTCCCGCTTTAACTGGGGAGATGACGTACAGACAGCTCTGCCCAAACGAGCTGGAGGCGGGGATATACTAGCGGATGGCGTCTGTTTGAGCCTTGTAACGTGGCGAGATATGAGGCCAGGTCTCTTGACTCCAGGCTCTTTCCACTAAGCTATACTGCCTTTCAAAAAAGAATGTGAGCAGCAAGAAATGGTGAGGAAAAAAACATAAAAGAAATGCCAAGAAAATCCTGTTTTTTAAACTTTATTTTATTTTGTTTTTTGGCTAGGCAATGGGGTTAAGTGATTTGTCACACAGCTAGTAAGTGTCAAGTGTCTGAGGCTGGATTTGAACTCAGGTCCTCCTGGCTCCAGGGCTGGTGCTGTATCTACTGCACCACCTAGCTGCCCCGAAAACCTGTCTTATTGCCCCTCGAAAAGACAAAGCTCTCCTGGTAGAATATAAGCTTACTGAGGGCAGGGATTATTTTCCCACTTGGATAGTATATCTGATGTGTCCAGTGCAGCAGGTGCTTAATAACTATTTCCTGAGGGGAAGGATCTCTGCCTTAAGCCGTCCAGGGGTCTACATACGGACCAACCCGGATGGTTGACTTATTTCTGCCTTTTGTACTCCTTGGTTCTGTGTGGTGGTGGTTGAAACTCTGCATTTGCTGGTTAATTGAACGAGAAACTAACTGATGGGAATTAGTATCAGATGATTCAGGTGACCCTGAGAGGGCCACGGAATATGTGGGTGCTCTTCTGGGGAGGAGGAACTAATTGGGATTTAAGAAATGTCTTTTGTCCCCCCTCATTTGCCCCTGACTTGTCACATGCTCTTGAGGAAGAATCCCTCTGTCTTCCTGTGCCTCAGTTTCCCCATCTGTAAGCATGTTTTTTTTTCCATGTTCAGTGCCTTCCGGGGAGGTTCTGGACAGTGCTCCAGCTCTGATTTTTCAGGGCCAGCTCCTCCATGAAGCAGAGCCCTGCTCTAGGGGCCCTGTCGATAACACACGTGCACATGAAGTCCAGAAGAGCTCGGTGTGAATCCCCACTCAGATACTTATCAACCGTATGATACTGGGAGAGTCACTTGACCTCTGCGGGCATCAGTTTACTCATCTGTAAAACGGAATCCCTGGGTGGCTGTCACATAGCTGGTTAGTAGCAGAGCCGAGGTTAGATAAATTCTTTGTGTCACATGCACAACAGAAAGTAAAAAATGAGCAAATCAGTGAATGGAGACAGAAAAGTTGGTGTGATATTTTAGATACTGCAATCACTTAAGTATGAATAGTTGTAAAGTAATAGCTAAAAAAGTAGCTTGAATTTATAATGCGCCTTAAAGTTTGTGAAGAGCTTTACAAATATTATCTCATAGGATCCTCCCCTCAACCCGATGATATGGAGGCTGCTATTATCCCCATTTTATAGATGATAAACTGAGGCCCAGGTTAAGGGATTTGTCCAGGGTCACCCCAGCTAGCAAGAGTCTGATACAGGATTCTACCTCTGGCCTTCCTGAGTGATCTCAGCACCAAGCTGCCCCCCACTGTTTGACTGTATTTTAGCTTAATATTAATTTTTATTTAACCCCTCTACCACTCAATGATAATAGCAACATTAGAATCATTCCTAAGGATATAGAACCTGAAGGCACTTACATGAGGCCTGTATTTGGGGGACTTGAAGTACTTTCAGGTGCCCAAAACATCTTCTCATCTTCGTTCTTGCTCCCCCTTCGTTTTGAAGGCTAAAAGTTGATAGGATCGTAGATTTGGAGCCGCCGAGAACTGAAGAGGTCGTTTGGTCCAACCCCCTCCTTTTACGGAGGGGGAAGCTGAGGCACAGAAGGATCCAGATGGAGTCGGCCACCTGGCGGTGGATGGTCCCCCATCTTGGGAATGGCACCATCTCAGTCAAATGTACCCTGGCTTGGTGTGGCACTCATGGCAGGGGGGGTACAAGGAGAGAAGTCCTTCTGGCTCCTGCTCATGCATCAGCCTCCACAGCCGAATTCTGAATGTTACAAAATTCTCGTTTTCAGATGTCACCATCGGAGCCTTCATGTCGGACCATGTGGTGCTGTTGAGGTGAGAATGCGTTCTGACTTCCACGGTGGGTGCTGTTCGTCCTCTCTGCTCGTCCCTGCCTGTGTTGGGGGGTGGAGATGGGGCCCTTTTGCACATGCATAATGCATACATGCATATACATATACACATACATATACTGACGTTGGCTCCTGCAGTCCCCTCTTGATGTGCCTTCCCATTTCCTCACCTCCAGCCCAGGATAATCTCTCTTTTGCAATGATCTGGTTATTTTATTACTCTTCTCAAAAGCCTTCATTGGCTCCCTAGTACCATCTGAGTTAAGTTTAAATTTGTCTCTGGCATTCAAGGCCTTCCATAATCTGGTGCCACCTTACTTTTCTAGCCTCATTTCATATTGCCCATTCAATTTAATTTGGCAAACATTTATTAAGCGCTTACTACTTACCAGGCACTGGGCTAAGTGCTGGGGATAGAAAAAGGCAAAAGGTCCCTGCCTTCAAGGCACTTGCAATGTAATGGGAAAGACAACGTGTTAAGAAATAGCTACAAAGCAAGTTATATACAGGACAAATAGGAACTAATTAAAAGAGGGAGGATACTGGGATTAAGAGGGATGAGGGGAAGCTCCTGTGGATGGTGGGATTTTAGTTGAGATTTATCAACAGCTGGGGCAGGTAGGTGACACAGTGGATAGAGTGCTGGGCCCCGAGTCAGGAAGACCTAGATTCAGATCTGATCTGAGATGCTTACCAGCTGTGTGACCCTAGTCAAGTCACTTCACCCTGTTTGCCTCAGTTTCCCCATCTGTAAAATAAGCCAGAGAAGGAAATGGCAAACCACTCCAGTATCTCTGCCAAGAAAACCCCAAATGGGGTCCCAAGGAGTTGGACGTGAAATGACTGGACAACAGCATTGACGATATTACCGTGTGCTCCATGCACCGGCCAGACTGTCCTCTTTATTCCTTGAATGCCCCTCTCCACCTGTGTCCCCATGGTTCCCTGTGCCTGGTTCACCCACTGACTTCCTTTGTGCAGTCATTTCAGTCTGGCCCAACTCTTTGTGACCCCATTTGGGATCTTCTTGGCAAAAATGCCAGAGTGTTTGTCATTTTTTTCTCCAGCTTATTGTACAGATGAGGAAACTGAGGCAAACAGGGTGAAGCGACTTGCGCAGAGTCACATGATTAGTAAGTGTCTGGATTTGAACTCAGGTCTTCTTGACTTCAGGCCTGGTGCTGTATCCACTGTGCTCCCTAGCTGCCGAGCCCAGATGAACTGCTAAACTATCTAGTGTTTGTTGTTCCAGAACATTCCTCCTGCGCAGTGTGTATGACTAACACCTCTCTGTGTGTTTAATCCTCTGAGACCCCAAGTTCTGTAGGGAAGGAACTCTGTCTCTCACTACGTTTCACTGTCTGTGTGTCTCCTCCATCTCTGCCAGCCTGCTGGTCTTTCTGGGGCAGGGGGACCAGGCCCTGCCTTTCTGCACCAGCCTTTCCAGACATTTCAGGTTGCCATGGATAGCAGCCATCCTGTATGGTCTCCCCTTGGAGGCAAAACCTCTACTTGTAAGAGACTGAAGCAGCCCCCGTGGTCAGGCCTCCGTCCCTTGGCTTTCCCTCCTCACTGTAAGACTCGGGCACTTTCCCTAGCCTTGTCTCTGCTGGCCGTAAGAAGCCCAGGGTGCTTTGCTGCTGGGGCTGAGCCTGCATCCCAGTGCTAGATGGGGGCAGGTTGTTTCTTTTAGATTGGCGTCAGAGGGACTAGTCGGTCAGTTGCCAGATGGCCAGTGCCGTCCTCGCTATCCGGATAAGGAGTAAGAGAAACAGACGTCCTCATGAGGATTCCTGGTCCAAAAGCAACCCCGGCCTGGTCAGTGGCTGGCAGAGTTTCGGGGGAGCAGGGCTGCCCAGCCGATGTGTCCGATGGACACATGCACCACCTGCGCTCCTCAGTAGAGTACAGCTTCGTGACCCTTTGATAAATTTAGCCTGTGCCACTCCCCTCACCGGCCTCCTCCCCTTCCCTGCTCAGACCAAAGCCTCTTCTAAGGCATGGAGGTCCAGCCTCTGGCCTCATGGACATTAGGGTCCACTGAACTGGAAGACCTTAAGAGGCCATCTCGTCCTCCCGTGTTACAGATGAGGAAGCTGAGCCCCAGAGAGTTTGTGACTCAGGATAGTAGATTTAAACTGGAGGAAGACACAGAGATGATCCAGCCCAACCCTCTCATTTTACAGATGAGGAAACTGAGGTCCAAGACATTAAGTGATCTTCTCAGGATTGTGTAGATAGTAACTGTCAGAGGTGAGATTTGAACTCAGGTCTTCTGACCCGACAGCTAAGGCTTTTTCTGCTCTACCCAAGCTGCCTCCCAAATGGTCATTTGGGCCGAGATGAGCTTGACCACGTTTCTCTTCGTCTTTGTGCCCAGCCCGGTGGGATGGCTCAGAGGCTGAGTAAGGACGGCCCTTTGGCTGGGGTGTGGAAGGGTCTTCCCTGAGAGGTAGCGAGTCTTCCCTCCCTGGAGGTATTCAAACACAGCTTTCTGAGTGTTTGTCAGGGATGTCCAGGATGGGATTTCTGGAGGGCGTGGGCCTGCCGGTGCCCTCAGTCCCTCCCAACTCGTCTGAGGGTTGAGGCAGGACTAGGAGAAGTTGGGCCAGAGGGCAGTGCCCTTCCCAGAGAAGCCCCAAGATCTTTCATTGGTGGCAGGCCGCCGGGTGGCTTTCTTGGCTTACGCTTTGTGAGGCTCTGCTCTTTTCCAGTCCTCGATGGAGGTGAAGCATGGATTTGGACTTGGGTCTGAGCTGCAGCCACAGGAGTTACTAGCGTGTGAACTTGAAACATCTCAGATCCTCAGTTTTCTCATCTGTAAAATGGGGATCCTAACACGTTCACTACTTATCTCAGGGAAGTTTTTGCTTTTGGCCAGACTTCTGATTTCATTGGGTGGGGAGCTCCCAGGGAGGAAACCAATACATATATGCACCTAGTCTGTGACTGAGAGTCTTCTGACATCGAGAGGTTCAGTGACCAGCCTGGGGCCACACAGCCAGTGTAGGTGAGAGGTAAGCCCCTGGGTTTTCCTGACTCCAGGGCTGGCTCTTGAGCCCTGCTGCCCCTGAAAGGGTCTTTAGTGCTATAGGACACTCAGTTGATTTTAGAAATGCCAGGAATGTGACCAGCTTCTACAAGAAGACCTGTGCTCAAAGTTAAAGCAGAGTAAGCCAGAATGCTGGCAGGCTGGAGATCTTCATGGTGTAGCTGTTCTCTCCACCAGTGCAGATTGCAGCCCATCCCTGGAGCATCTTCTTCATACCCTCACATGACTCTGATGTTTCAAAGGTCCTCCCACCCACCCCCAGCGTGCTCAGGTACCCTTTTCTGCTGGTGGTGTGGGGGATGTGCAGACTAGCACTTTTCTCTGTCAGGACAAAGTGACCTTGGTGAGGCCCATGCCGGCCGCCATGACTCCCATGGGGGTGTCATCCTCAGTCTCCTTCAGAGATGACTCAGTTGTCAGGGAGAACTTGTGTCTGGCAGAATGATCAGTTATCCGACGAGTATTTATTAAGTCCTTCCTATGGACCAGGTACTGGGGAGACAGAGACAAAACAAAACAAAAAAATCATCCCTGCCCTCAGGGAGCTTACATTCTAATTGAGGAGACAAGTATATGCAGCTGGTCCATATGAGATCCACGCCCGTAACTGGAAGTCTCAGAGATGGGAATATGTGTAAGGAGTGGTAGGCAGGCCACTAGGGCTGAGGAGGGGAACAGTGTGGAAGAAGAATGGAAAGGAAGGAAGAAGCTGGGTCATGAGGGGCTTTACATGCTGGACAAAGAGGGTTCGTTGGAGAGTTAACAGGGAACCGCTGGAGTTTGTGGAAGGAGCAGCTGGCGAGGCCAAACCTGTTGTTTAGGAAAATCACTCAGGCAGCTGTGTGGTGGGAAGGTTGGCTTGTGGAGAGGCTGGAGGCAGGAGGCAGGGAGGCCAGGTAGGAGGCTAGAGCTGACAGGGGCTTCGACTGAGGTTCTGACTTTATGAATGGAGATGGAAGTGGGGTGGGGAGAGAGGAGAGATAGTGGGAAAGTAGAGACAACAGGATCTGGCGACAGATTGGACACGGAGGCTTGTGTGAGTGTTGAAGGTCGACTCGAGGATAACACTGAGGTTGAGGGCGGGGGTGACTGGGAGGATGGTGCTCAAGCTTGTCCCTCCTCAGGAACATAGTAGGTGCTTAATAAATGCATGATTATTGGACTAAGTTAAGAGAAATCAGGGTCAGCTAGGTGGTGTGGTGGATGGAGTACCAGTCCTGAAGTCAGGAAGACCTGAGTTCAAATCCAGCCTCAGACACTTAGTAGTTGTGTGACCCTGGCCAAGTCACTTAACCCTGTTTGCCTCAGTTTCCTCATCTGTAAAATGAGCTGGAGAAGGAAGTGGCAGACCACTCCAGTATCTCTGCCAAGAAAGCCCCAGACGGGGTCACAAAGAGTCAGACGTGGTTGAAAACGACCAAACAAGAAAGTAAAGATGAGAGGAAGTCAGGCTACAATCTACAGGAGCTTCATTCCTCACAGAGATTTGAGTCCGTGTGGGGGTGGGGGTGGGGAAGGGGCTTGGGTAGCTTGTGAGTGCAGCTGGAACGTTTCAAGTCATTCTCATGATGGAAGCAAAAGCTTCTGGGAGCCGTGGAGGCAGGAGCCGTGGGTCTAATCAGGGCGTTCTTGCAGGAACTCCCCCTCCTGTATATACAGTGAGACCCAATAAAATGGAACCAGGAACTTAACTGGTGAAATTTTAAATGATCCCACAACATCTGGTGGCTCATTTATGACTCCGGCCATATGCATCTCATTAACACATCAGCCTGTCCCTCTTGTTGTGAAGTTAATCATTAAATTATTAAGAACAAGCCTTTCCAAATCACAGAGAAGAGTATTTACAGACCATCTCTCCTCTTCCTGTGTTCATGCCCAACTTGGCCCTCTCTGTTCAAGGATGGCTTGTCGGGATGAGCCTGACCCTTTTTTTGTCGACCCACAGGGCCAGACCCGTCATCACAGTGGATGTCTCCATCTTCCTCCCAGCCTCCATCAACATCACGGCGCCCCAGTGCTACGATGGCCAGCAGCCGGTGAACTGCCTCAATGTCACCGCCTGCTTCCGCTTCCGAGGCAAGCACGTGCCAGGAGAAATCGGTAAGGGGCTTGCTCCATCCTGGGAAGGTCCATTCACATGAGTTGACATTGACTGTTTCCGATGCGCCAGGGTTGTGTGAGGAGCGGGGTACGAAGACAAGTCTGAAGCAATCACTGCCATCAAAGCGCTTATGTTCTGCTGGGGAAAATGCCACCTCCATAGCTCCTGTGCCTTAGCTCAAGTATTGCATGTCAGCGTTGTGGGCCTATGGGGTACAGGATTGTAGGTAGTCTGTAGAATTGTACCAAGCTGTAAAGGATCTGATGGCAACAATCATAACTGACATTTAGAGAACGTGCTGAAGTTTGCAGAATGTTTTAAGAATGTTGTCTCATTTGAGCCTTGCGAGAGCTCTGAGAACATGTACTACAGGTATTATTTATCTCCGTTTTATAGATGAGGAAACAGAGAGACTGAATGACTGGATTAAGGTCATTTACCAAGCAACTGTTGGAGGTGGGATTTGAAACCAGGTCTTACTAACTCTCAAGTCCAGAACTCTATCCAAGATGCATTTTTCTTTGTCATTTGTGGGAGTTTTTTCAGTTAGCAGATAAAGTCTTTCTTTAGGCCATAACTTGTCTTCTCTTTTCCCTTCTCTCATAGTTATGTTATTTTAGTTTATGTTGAAGGAAGAAGACATTTTTAGTCTAGGGAAGAGCCAACTCAAGGGGGACGTGAGAGCTGTCTTCTCTAAGGGTTATCACACGGAAGAGAGATTGGGTTCTTCTTCTGCTTGGCCCCCAAAGACAGAATGGCCTCCAATTTAGCATTGGAGTCAGGAAAAGGAAAACTTCCTAAAAGTCAGAGTTGTCCCAGAGTGTGATGGGACTGCTTTAGGAGGTCACGGCTTCTCCCCCATTGGAGGTCATGAAGCAAAGGTTGATGATCGTTGTGTGTTGTAGGGGGGATGTTTTGGGGGGCATAGGTTGGAATTCTGGGGCAGAAGTTTGTAAAGGATGATACATGTTTCTGTTACTCTGTCTTTGTCTCTCTTTACATTTATATGTGTCTCTATTTTTTTTTCTGTTTCTGTCTCTGACTCTTTCATCCATCCATCCACCCACCCCTCTACCCCTTCCTCCACCCCTTCACTCCTCCACCCCTCCACCCATCCCTCCATCCATCCACCCCTTCCTCCACCCCTTCACTCCTCCACCCCTCCACCCATCCCTCCATCCATCCACCCCTTCCTCCACCCCTTCACTCCTCCACCCCTCCACCCATCCCTCCATCCATCCACCCCTTCCTCCACCCCTTCACTCCTCCACCCCTCCACCCATCCCTCCATCCATCCACCCCTTCCTCCACCCCTTCACTCCTCCACCCCTCCACCCATCCCTCCATCCATCCACCACCCCTCCACCCCTTCACTCCTCCACCCCTCCACCCATCCCTCCATCCATCCACCCACCCCTCCACCCCTTCCTCCACCTCTCCACCCATCCCTCCATCCATCCCTCCATCCGTCCAAAAACAAGGACTGTTTCCCCAAGCATACAAGGAACAAGCAGACCCTACGCTGTAACAGATGTGCAGAGTGTGTGCTCGTCTCCTAGAAATGCTGTAACTTGAGCCTGGGAGTGGGTATGGCTCAGACAAAGGGACAGCCCATTGCCTGCCGCATATGCTCTCTCACTGAGCAAGGGGCGAGAAGCAAATTCTTGGCAAGCCTGAAATGTTTCCTTCGAGGAGAGGAGACAAAGGTTGGGAGGTAGAGTAGAGGCCACATGTTTTCACCGAGAATTCAGCCGCCCCCAGAGGGATGCTGATTCTGGAGCGTTAAATAGTTTAAAAGGTGCCAGTATCTTACGAGCCAGTGGGGCTAGTCCCCTCCATTTCCCTGAGCCAGGAGAGCTTGTTTACTCTTGTACCATAAGGGACTGGATTAATCTCCTAGAAAAAGACACAAGCAGTGTGGATTAAAACTGTGTGCGTGATAACTTCTTATTAGTAGCAGCAGGGAAACAAAGCCAGAACATCTGTGCATTTCAATGAATGCAGGGGCAACTAATGTAGAAGCCTTTTCTTTTCCTTTTTTATTTGAAAGAAGGAGCAGAGAGGATACATTGAAGAAAATAGAAGAGACTGATGCGGGTTTGGAGCACACCTGGATTTGCTTAGCTGTTTCTAGATTTAAAAAAAAAGCTGTGTTTTTGGTGACTTTGCTGTTTTCTCACACACAGAAACTCTCTGCCTCACTGTCTTCCTGAAACCCTGGATCTCTTTTTCTGTCTTTCCCACACACACTTTTTGGTTTGTTGTTATATTTTCTATTTCATCTGAAAGAATAAAAGCATATCTATGTAATACTTGAGATTTTACCAAATACTTAATTTTATTGAAAATACAGTTTATTGGGGCAGCTAGGTAGCGTAGTAGATAGAGCTCCAGCCTTGGAGTCAAGAGGACCTGAGTTCAAATCCAGCCTCAGACACATGACACTTACTAGCTGTGTGACCCTGGGCAAGTCACTTAACCGCGATTGCCTCATCAAAAAAAAAAAAAGCAAAAAAACCCCCCAGTTTATTGATGTTCTTTTTTTTTTTTTTGGCAAGGCAATTGGAGCTAAGTGACTTGACCAGGGTCACACATCTAGTAAATGCTTTTTTTTTTTTAAACACCAGCATTACTTCCCAATGCCTCCCCTCAGCCCCTAAAAACATTCTCTTCTGACATGAAGCCAAGGGGAACAAATCAACATATTGCCCAGGCCTGAAAACGTGCCTCCTCACACTCTCTCTCTTTGCCGTGTGGCACCGAATATGCTTCCCCATTAGGTCCTCTGAAGTCCTAGCGAGCCGCCGCTTCGCTCAGCCTGGATCCAGAGACCCTCCGTGTTGCTTTCCTTCACGTTATGGTGGTTACCATGTAGATGTTTCTCCATCTTCTGCTTTCTTCCTCTTTGTTAGCATTTATTTAATTGACAAGCATTTCTTAAATGCTTCCTATGTGCGAGAAAGGCGATCCCATGGGCCCTGCCCTCAAGGGGCGTGCGCTCTAATGGGGAAGGCATCACGGAAGTAGCTCAGCACTATGATATTGACAGAGAACGTAATCTGAGAGAAGAAGGCGCAGGGTAAGAGCTTGGGGGGACCAGGCAAGGCCTCCTGCAGAAGGTGGAAGTTGGGCCGAGCCTTTAAGGAAGCCCGGAAAGCAAGGAGGCAGAAGTGAGGAGAGAGCTTCCCAGAAATGGGCCAGTGAAAGGGCAGCTGGGTGATGGCGTGCTGTGGGCATGGAACAGGACGTGGGCCGGGGGAGTTGGGTCTTGGGGGGGCATGTAGAAAGGGTGAAAGTAGATCAAGATTGCCCACATAGCAAGGGCCAGGCTGGGAAGGGCTTTGAATACCCCATGTGAGTTTGACGCTCATAAGGAGACATTTGTTGAGGACACGGCCACTCCTCTGCTGTAGGAGAAGCACCTGGAGCAGCTGTGTGGAAGACAGACCGGAGTGGGGAGAAGCATGAGACAAGGAGACCGGTTGGGGGGCTAGTGCAGGAGAGTACTAGACTTGGAACCAGGAGAACCCGAGTTCAGATCCTGGCTCTCATCTGTTCTAGTGGTGAGACCGTAGGTAGGTGACAACGTCTCTGACCTCAGTTTCACCATCTGCAAAATGGCAATGACACCTTCTTCTGAAGCTATGCTGCCTCTGTGTAGCAGCCATTTCACCTCTAAGTGTACGGTCCACGTACAGAGAACGTTAGCCTGGCTAAATACCTGGGTCACGTTGGACGTGAGCCTACTTCTGAGTGTTGGAAGTGCAGCGACTCACAAAGAGTCCTTCAGACTTACACGTGTGCATGGCCTTTGGTTTTATCACTCACCTCAGGCTTTCAGAGACTGAGGAAAAGGAGAGACAAAGGCCTCGTCTGAAAATGGGAAGTGGGGTACAGAGTTGGGGCCTTGAGGAGAGAGGAGCAGAGCAACCATGAAAAACGGGCGTCATTACAGGCTTCAGGCTTGCTGGGTAGCTGATGGCTAGCAAGTGTGTCTACAGTGCTGGAAGATTTGCAAAGCATTTAACAGATATCTCATTTTGTCTTCCCAACACTCCTGGGAGGTGGGCGATATTATCATTCCCATTTTGTAGCTAAGGGAACTGAGGCAAGCAGAAGTCAAGTGATGCTACTAAGACAGTGTCCAAGATGGGATTTGAACTCGGGCCTTCCTGACCTCAGGTCTGGCTATCCGCTGTACCCCCTAGCTGTCCCCCAACTTTGGAACAGTCACATGAGGTAGGCGCTATAGGCATTATCACCCTTATTTTATAGCTGAGGAAGCTCAGGCTCTGAGTGACAGTCACATAAGTAGTAAGTGTGAGAGGCGAAATCCAAACCTGGTCTTGGCCAATGTTGGGTCTAGAATTATAGTGTGGTGGGAAGAATATTGGGCTTGGAGTCAGAGAACCTGGGTTCAAATCCTGGCTGCACTATTTGCTTCTTACTGAGTGACCTTGGGAAAAGCCCATCTCCTGTCAGGTCCCCGGTTTCCTTGGCTAAAAATGAATGGGCTGTCCTAGATAACCAGTGAGGTCCTTCTCATGTTCAGGCTGATATCTTGTGCAAATATTTCCTTTCTACTCCATAGTGCAGGACGGCTCTGGTGAGTAATGGGAGGTGAGGAGTAGGATTACTAAACTGCTTGAGTTGTACGGCATACACGAAAGTGTGAATCTAGGCAGGGACCATTCGTGGGATCTTGGGGCTCGCATCCACTCCATTCCAAATCCTAGTGAAGAAGAAGGATGAGAACCGGGAGGCTTCTGGTGAAGAGTGGACTAGGAGAATGCAGGGACTCTGGTGTCCTTTGAGTCCACCCAGATGGCCAAGATTCATTCTCATTTTGTACCTTGATTTAAAAAAAAAATCTGATCCTGGGATTCCATCAGGATGTGGAACTTCCAGTGTGAAAAGTCTCTCTGCTGATGTGGATTGATCACTCATCACTAAGTTGGAGTCTTAGGAAGTTGCCTGGGGGCAGGAGGAGGGATTTATA